GCGACCACACTTCACTCTTACATAGGTGATTCTTCTAAGAGTATCCCGATTACTCCACTTGGGCCTTGTTGTCCATAGTTCAAGAACCATTAAAGCATCATGCTAACCTCATCGCTTTCGGGAGTCTCTGTATCTCAGTAGGAACGGAGGGGTGTTAAGTCGGTGATCCGGCTTACCCCCACAGTGACCGTGCTTCGTTCCACAAGTAGGTTGTCCCATTGAACCCAGGTACCACCTAGGTTGGGTTTTCCTTCATGGAACATTCCCAGCACAGGGAAGGGCTTTCAGACCCATTCCTACTACTAACTTCTCATGTTGCTCATTGGTTAACCCTTTGGTTAATGGATCCGCTAAATTATCCTTTGACTTGACATAGTCAATCGAGATAATACCCGTATTGAGAAGTTGCCTAATGGTTTTGTGTCTACGGCGAATGTGCCTAGACTTAGCATTATACAATTTGTTCCGAGCTCGTCCTATTGCTGACTGACAGTCACAATAAATGCAAATAGGAGGAACTAGTTTTTCCAGTTTGGAATATCCTCAAGTAAATTCCGAAGCCACTCGGCATGTTCTGCACACTTATCTAGTGCTATGAACTCAGACCCTGTGGTGGATGTGGCAATTAACGTTTGATTTGAGGATTTCCAGGAAATAGCTGCACCGGCTAACATAAAGATAAATCCGCTTCTGGATTTTGAATCCTTATTATCCACAATCCAATTGGCATCCGTGTACCCTTCCAGCACAGGCGGATACCTGCCATTGCATATGCTATAATCTCGAGTATACCGAAGGTATCTCATTACTCGGACTATGGCCTTCCAGTGCTCAGCACTCGGATTGCTAGTATACCTACTTAGTCTGCTAATGGCGCAAGCTAAGTCTGGCTGTGTCCAGCTCATCAGATACATCACACTTCCAATAACTCTAGCGTATTCTGTCTGAGAATCGCTACTCCCACGGTGTTTACCAAGGTGAACATTTACGTGTATCGGCGTCTTAGCTATGTGTCCTTAAAGTATACGCACTTATCCGACTCATTTATCTTAAAACCATTGTTCATCATTACTTCGTCAAACTTATCATGCCATTGTTTTGGAGCTTTTTTAAGACCATATAATGATTTCACAAGTTTGCAGACCTTCTTTTCTTGGCCCGGAACCTTAAACCCTTCATGTTGTTCCATATAGATTTCTTCATCTAGTTCGCCATTTAGAAAAGATGTCTTCACATCCATTTGGTAAACATCCAAGTTTCGTAAGGATGCAAATGCGATGATCATTCTGATAGAGTCTATCCTAGTCACAGGCGCGTAAGTATCAAAGTAGTCATAGCCCTCGCGTTGGCTTTACCTCTTGATCACAAGTCTAGCTTTGTACTTGTCAATGGAGCCGTCAGGATTCATTTTTCTCCGAAAGACCCATTTGGAACCTAATGGCTTACACCCTGGTGGGAGATCAACCAATTCCCACGTGTGATTCTGAAGAATAGAATCAACTTAAGTTTTTATGGCTTCTCGCCACTGAGGTCCCTCGGTTGAGGTTACGGCCTCGTGATAGGTTCGTGGTTCCTTTTCTACCAAACAGGTTAGAATATCGAGTTCATTTTCCATTAGAAATGACAAAGTTCCTTTGTCAAGTTCTATCAGATATGTTATGAAGTCAGAACCGAACGTCTTTTCAGTTCGTATTCTTTTACTTCGTCTCAATTCAGTTTCATGTTCGACTTCATCATCGTCACCGGAATTCAACTGATTTGGATCATCGTTATCCATCATCTCAGTATGAGAACGTTTGGACGAACTAGCTTCACCCACACGAAAAAATGTGCTCAAAAAACGTTGCATTCCGTGACTCTATGATCGTGTTCTTGTGAATTTCAGGATTATCTGATTTGTACACCAAGAACCGATACGACGTACTATTGTACTCGATGAAGATTCCATCAACTGTTTTTGGACCGATCTTCATCTTCTTCGTTGGTGGTGCAAGTACTTTCGCGAGACACCCCCACACTTTGAGATACTTATAAGAAGGTTTCCTATTATTCCAAAGTTCATACGGAGTTTTGTCAAGTTTCTTACGAGGTATTTTATTTAGTAATAATTACTTGGTAAAACAACCTCCCCCACATGTTCTGGGGTAATCCAGAACTAAGTAGCATCGCATTCATCATGTCCTTCAAAGTGCGATTTTTACGCTCCGCCACTCTGTTAGACTGCGGTGTATACGGTGGGGTTACCTGATGCACTATTCCATGTTGTGCACAAAACTCATTAAGTGGAGCATCATACTCACCACCTCTATCGCTTCTCAATGCTTTTATCTTGCGATTGAGTTGATTTTCCACTTAATTCTTATATCGAATAAAAGTGTCTAACACTTCATCTTTACTTTTTATTAAATAGATATAGCAATATTTCGTGCTATCATCGACGAAGGTCATAAAGTACTTATTACTCCCTCTTGAAGGCGTTGTTCGAAAATCACACAAGTCGATGTGAACCAGCTCTAGAGGTTGAGTGTTTCGTTCGATAGTTTGAAACGAACTTCGAGTAGACTTTGCCTCAACACAAGTTTCGCACTTGTGAGTTAAGTCAATACTAAACTTAGGTATGATCAACAATGACTCCGACACTAAATTCTTACGAATGTCTGGCACATAGAGCACGTCGTTAAGCGTTAGCTCCTTGCTAGAAGTCATTTTTAACTTAATCTTTCCAACCCCTTGACCCTCTGATTGGGCCGAGTTGCCCATCCAGACTTTGTCACCTGAGGTCTCTTGAAATTCGTGAAACATGCTCCGGTTGGAGCAAATATGACGTGTGGCCCCTGTGTCCACAAACCATTCCCTCGGGTTTGACCCGACGAGATTCACCTCGGTGACGACTGCGCAAAGATGCAGGTTGTCGAGCTCTGCGCACATAGCTTCGGTGATTTTCTTCTTGTTCTTCTTTGGCTTCTTTTTCCTACAATAGGAGGAACGATGCCCGGTAATGCCACAATTGTAGCACTTTCCTGCAAATTTAGAAACCCCACCTTTAGGACCAATTTTCTTTTTGTCCTTCCCGCCATGTGAAGAGCCCGACGGATGTTCTACCACATTCGCCTTTGCCCCTCCACCTCTTCTGGCAAGCCCTTCCTCTCGAATCCTCAACCGCGTGAGCAGTTGCTCCAGGTTCACCTCCGTTCTTTTGAGCTTGAGGTCGGCTTGGAAGTCTTCTCACGACCGGGGAAGTTTGTGGATGATGGCCGCCACTTGAAAAGCCTCGCTGACGCCTACTTTCTCTTCATTGCATTTGTTGAAGATTACCTTAAGCTCCTCAGCTTTGTTGGAATGCATGAGTTCAACCCTTTTTGTGTTATTAAGTGTTGACTCACAGGTTTTGATAATTGACAAACACAATTTTATTCAAGTCAAGATCAAAGTGCTACATCGACAAACACGAAGACTTGAAGTGTCATTCCTTGAAGTATTCAAGAAGGAGCACAGGATTTTATTGGAGTCCAAGACGCTTTCGAAGCGCCTAACGGAGGACTCGGAGGAGTAGAAGATTTCCGAAGACTTTTATTTATTTGAGTCGTAGGAATATTTGTAAGGATGACAAAAATATCTTCTCTCCAAAATTATTTTTATGAGAGTTAAAATAAAAATTATATTTATTTTTTGAGTCAGTTGAAAAATCTTTTTAACTGTTCAAAATAGTTTTATTGAGTCAGTTACAAAAGGTGTGCCAAACATTTATCAAATATTTATTTTGATATTATAAAATATTTTTGGTAAGCAAAAATATTTTATTAAAATATTTTTTGTGTACATCGTTTGACACACAAAATAATTTTTGGACTCACTTTTACTCCCTTATTCAAATTCATTCAATAAGAGAGGAGGAGCGTTCTCTGATTCCCGTTGTCTCAAACAACTAGTGTTACGCCAATTCTGCTCTCCATCGCAACTGGCTTGGGCCCTTTGTGTTTGCGCATTATTTCTGTCTTAATCGATTATACTTCGTTGATTAATCGATTATCCTTCGATCGCATTCAATCATCGATTAAACATCCTTGTTTAATCGATTAGATGCTTGTTGCGTTGAATTGCCTAGGTCTTGTGTTTAATCGATTTTTTTCTTTCCTTTAATCGATTAGTTCACACAGAGCCTTCTAATCAATTAATCCCTTTAATTTAATCGATTTTCCTTCAGCTGCATTGATCGTTGCTAATGATGCATTAATCGATTATTGGTGATGCATTAATCGATTATTATGCTGCATCTTTTCTGCACAGCTTCTTTTCTTGGACCAACGGATATATTTCTTCACCTCCTATTTAAGCACCCTTCCTTGGTCATTTTTCATAAAAAGAAACACTCCAATACTCTCCATTCTTGAGGTGTTAATCCTCCATCAATCCTTCCTCAAATTTATATTATTTTGAGAGAAAATATTTGTTTTTAAGAGAGGTTTCTTGTCATCCATTAGAGCTTTAATCCTTTCTCTTATCTACTCTTTTGAGAGCTATTGTTTAGAGGTTGAAGAAGATTGTTCTTCTTGTTGTTCAAGGCTTATGTGATTTAAGTCTTGGTTGTGAAGTCTTGTAGAGGGCATATCTACGAGCGGTTGTGTCGAGGCTTGTGGGATTCAAGTTCTCGAGTTGTAAACGGTTTGTTAAGCACCCGTAAGCTTAACGGAAGTAGTGGTAGCTTCAAGAGAGTCTCTCGGGGAACTGGACTAGCCACGAGGTGGTGAACCAGTATACATCGGTGTGTTCTTTGCCTTCTCTATTTTATTTCCGCTGCACTTACATTTATATTTTTAATCCTGCGATAATTGGTAAACATTCTCAACAACTCTATTCACCCCCCCTCTAGAGTTGCACGCCTTGTCTAACAATTGGTATCAGAGCGGGTATCTCTAACGCTCTTTGTGACGTTTGAGAAAACGATCAAATTTTTTTGAGAATGTTGAACGCAGGGATAGGAGAAGGGCAATCTACCGTAAGGCCGCCATTTTTTGATGGAACAAATTACTCCTATTGGAAGGAGCGAATGAGGATTTTTGTTCAATCAAACAACTTCAAAATTTGGCTTGCTATCAAGAATGGAGATAGCTTGCCGATGAAGAAGATAGGCGATACACTCATCCCGAAGGACGAGGATGAATATGATGAAGCCGACTTCAAGAAGGCTCAATTAAATGCCACCGCCATCAACTTCTTGTACTGTGCGGTCAACGCCAACGATTATCAAAAGATATCTCGTTGCCAAACCGCCAACGAAATGTGGAACAAGCTCATGATCACATACGAAGGTACGCCTCAAGTTCGTGAATCAAAAATTGATTTACTAACCCATGAATATGAGCTATTTGCTATGAAAGAGAACGAACTTGTGGAGGACATGTTTAGAAGATTTTCAAACATCGTCAACGACCTTGATATGCTTGGAAAGACGCTCACCGACAAGGAGTTAGTGAGGAAAATCCTGCGAAGTCTAACCAAGGAATGGGAGTCAAAGGTTAATTCCATCTACGAAGGCCGAGATTACAATGTTATCACATACGACGGTCTCAGAGGTAACCTTATCACTTACGAAACAATCATCTTTCTCATACTCTTGACGTTAAGAAGAGAACGGGAATTGCTTTTAAAGCATCTTCTTCTGAAAAAGTAGAGATCGATGATTCGGATTCGGATAGTGATAGTGATTCTAGCACTTCTTGTGATATTTTGGTTGAATGTTTTAACGAGTTTATGAAACATGAGCTTAATAAGAGCAAGAGGAAAAACACCCCAAGGTGTCACACGTGCGGAAAGCTTGGCCACCGTAAATTTGAGTGCCCGAAGCTCAAGAAAATGAGCAAACAAGATGAATTTGCGTATTTTTCGTGGAGTTATGATCAACCTTCCAAAGACGACTCCCTCTTCGGTGTTGAAAAACAAGTTGGGTGGCCGGGCACGTGACGCACTTGAAAGGCGTGCTTGAAGACTACAAATTTGTAGTGGATGCTCCAAGCACTTAGCCAAAGAGATTGCATCAAAGGGGAGTCATTATATATTTTTTTAATGAATTTATATGAATTTATTTGGGAAATTTACATAGAATGTTTAGCATATAGTAAGGGGGAATTTATTGCTATATGTGTTAATCTTTTTGTATGTTTTCTTTAAGGGGAGATAGCATAATTTAAGGGGAAGCATTTTTATTTCCTAGAAATGCATGATTTTAGGGGGAATGTGATTTTTCTTAATTGTTTAGAATTTTTTTTTCTCTCCCCGGAATGCATGAGTTCTTTTGTTGCATTATTTTTTGATAATGCCAAAAGGGGGAAGAGTATAGGAGTATATGCTTTAATTTGTTATTTATTGGTAGCATATCCTCCATGTGTTTGTCATTATCAAAAAGGGGGAAATTGTTGGAATGCATGAGTTCAACCCTTTTTGTGTTGTTAAGTGTTGACTCACAGGTTTTGATAATTGACAAACACAATTTTATTCAAGTCAAGATCAAAGTGCTACATTGACAAACACGAAGACTTGAAGTGCCATTCCTTGAAGTATTCAAGAAGGAGCACAGGATTTTATTGGAGTCCAAGACGCTTGCCTAACGGAGGACTCGGAGGAGTAGAAGATTTCCGAAGACTTTTATTTATTTGAGTCGTAGGAATATTTGTAAGGATGACAAAAATATCTTCTCTCCAAAATTATTTTTATGAGAGTTAAAATAAAAACTATATTTATTTTTGGAGTCAGTTGAAAAATCTTTTTAATTGTTCAAAACAGTTTTATTGAGTCAGTTACAAAAGGTGTGCCAAACATTTATCAAATATTTATTTTGATATTATAAAATATTTTTGGTAAGCAAAAATATTTTATTCAAATATTTTTTTGTGTACATCGTTTGACACACAAAATAATTTTTGGACTCACTTTTACTCCCTTATTCAAATTCATTCAATAAGAGAGGATGAGTGTTCTCTGATTCCCGTTGTCTCAAACAACGAGTGTTACGCCATTTCTGCTCTCCATCGCAACTGGCTTGGGCCCTTTGTGTTTGCGCATTATTTCTGTCTTAATCGATTATACTTCGTTGATTAATCGATTATCCTTCGATCGCATTCAATCATCGATTAAACATCCTTGTTTAATCGATTAGTTGCTTGTTGCGTTGAATTGCCTAGGTCTTGTGTTTAATCGATTCTTTTCTTGCCTTTAATCGATTAGTTCACACAGAGCCTTCTAATCGATTAATCCCTTTAATTTAATCGATTTTCCTTCAGCTGCATTGATCGTTGCTGATGATGCATTAATCGATTATTGGTGATGCATTCATCGATTACTATGCTGCATCTTTTCTACACAGCTTCTTTTCTTGGACCAACGGATATATTTCTTCACCTCCTATTTAAGCACCCTTCCTTGGTCATTTTTCATAACAAGAAACACTCCAATACTCTCCATTCTTGAGGTGTTAATCCTCCATCAATCCTTCCTCAAATTTATATTATTTTGAGAGAAAATATTTGTTTTTAAGAGAGGTTTCTTGTCATCCATTAGAGGTTTAATCTTTTCTCTTATCTACTCTTTTGAGAGCTATTGTTGAGAGGTTGAAGAAGATTGTTCTTCTTGTTGTTCAAGGCTTATGTGATTTAAGTCTTGGTTGTGAAGTCTTGTAGAGGGCATATATACGAGCGGTTGTGTCGAGGCTTGTGGGATTCAAGTTCTCGAGTTGTAACCGGTTTGTTAAGCACCCGTAAGCTTAACGGAAGTAGTGGTAGCTTCGAGAGAGTCTCTCGGGGAACTGGACTAGCCACGAGGTGGTGAACCAGTATACATCGGTGTGTTCTTTGCCTTCTCTATTTTATTTCCGCTGCACTTACATTTATATTTTTAATCCTGCGATAATCGGTAAACATTCTCAACAACTCTATTCACCCCCCCTCTAGAGTTGCACGCCTTGTCTAACAAGCTTGGGCGACAACAGATTTGTTGTCGACCATCTTGTAGTCTAGCATCTTCCCGACGATGAACTTCTTCGTGCCGACATCTTCAGCTTGATACTTCTTGTTCAAGCTATTCCAAAGCTCTTTTGCATGCTTAGCACCGGCATAGACGGGGTACAACGTATCTCCCAACCCCTCAAGGATAATGTTGATGGCGAGATAATTGTTGTGGTACCATTCTTGGTTCACCATTGCCACGAGGGGGTCGTTGGTTTCGTTGGGCTGGGGAGGATCTTGCTGCAGGTACTCAGCAAATCCCAGGACGATCAAGAAGAATGTCATCTTTTGTTTCCACATTTTGAAGTTTGTGCCATTGAACTTCAGTGGCCTTTGGACCAAGCTAGCGGGCACTGAGATGGCCCCAACCGCATTGGGCGTATGGAGGAAAGGCCCGTTGCTCGCCCAATGAGGTCCAACAAATGGATTTACCGGTGCGGGGAAACCTGCATTCGGTCTAAAGTTGACCGTCGAGACCGAAGCCACAGTCGGTCCAAGAAATGGGTTCGAATTACCAACGGGGTAATCCCCCGTGGCCTCGAGCCCGGGAATGGGTCGAGGGGCCGACCCGAAAATCGAGCTCGGCATCAAGAATGACGTCATGGTGGCGCCCCCACACTTGACCCGAAGGGCAGTGGTGACGAAGGCACAACCATGGCGACGGATGAGGTTTCGATCGGAACTTCGGAACTCATTCCGTTGCCGGAGGAACCCTCAATGCCGAAACTGACCCGACCCGACGCGCGCGCGCGCGTGTCGTGACGTGCCGAGCCGGACAGACGGCGGCAGCGTTGGCGCGCGAGGAGTCCTCTTCTTGTTCCTTGCATAAGCTCAATTCAATGCCTAAGCTTAAATATGAGAATACGAAAGGTTCAAAAACCGGTGTGGGACAAGGGTTTTTATCTTTCCTCTTATTCAACTTTGAGAATTAATTTCTCATTCACCCGAGCACCGTTTATGGTGTGTAATATGTCAAGACTTTCGTCTTACTTACGAGATTAAACGTCCATAATTATTTCGGGAAATAATTTTGTGGACCCCACCGAATTTATGTCCAAAATTGTCCAATTTATTCAAAATTTTCCAACACTTACGAATCAAAAGATCACAAAACTTGAATTTAAGATTGCACCTCAAGTGTAAAGAATAAAAAATAATCTAATTGTTATGTCTTGAATTTCAATACCTTTATGCAAGAAGAGGCCTTGTCAACTGAAATCACTGGTGTGTTTGTCTTCCCATCGGTTGAATATCCGATGGTCTTATCAGTCTGCAATAAAGAAATTTTTAACTTTGTTATCAACCATAAATATACCATCGTTGAAGAGATATCCGTTTTGACAGCAAGTGCGCATATTTTTTTTTAATCTCACATACCTTTTAAGCTTTGCATACATACAGCTTCGATGAAATAAGTTTTGTATACATACTTCAGAGAACTTCAGCATCTCGGAGGAGGACTTAGGCAACAACAAACATCCAACCTTTTCAAATATTACAAAAGTTGCACTATCTGATGCATCGTTCACTCTAGCCTTAATTCGATACATGTGTATATTCATTATATTAATATGGAACATTAGGCGCATTCAGATGTTTCTATCATTTGTTCAGTTTTTATAGTGTAACGTTTTTACGCTCTTTTTAAAAAAATTTGTAGGGACTATGAACAATGTTTAAGCAATATAAAAGTCTTATAGTCTAATGTTTTTAAGTACTGGAGAAACTTCAACGTTAATAGACACTATTAATAGTAAAGAGGTCGTTTTTATTAGTTTTTCAGTACTTAGGGACTGGAGAAACCGCAAGAACTTTTTTAAAATTTAAAGGCGACACCATGAAATTCCTTAAAAAAAATCATCAAAATATAAATCTGAAAATAGGGCCTGGTGAAACTTCAATCCCTTATATATAAAACAGTTATTCATGGAATCACAACCTTATTTTATGTTTCTTGAACATTTAATTTTAGGAAAAATATGTTTTACAAATTCATTGTAATATAGGGTGGTATTTTCATTCTAATTGTTTTTCCATGGCACATGGAAGTTGAAACAAATACAAATGATTGGAATGTAAACAAAAAGCATTTGGTCTTTATAATGTAAACTAAATAGTAAAGTAAGTAGTTCTGTGGTATTTGCTCTACCCCCAATTACTCGGTTGTTAAATGGATTAAATGGAAGGGAAAATTAATGACTAAGTTCAGAATGTGTGAATCCATTCAAATAGATGGCCAGTGTTCAACGTGAGGCAAGGAAGAGGAAAGCACTGACCATTTATTCAGAGAATTTGAGGAAGATTGTAAGCACATGGCGTGTAGATGCAGATTTAGATGCAATTTCGCTAGGATTTTAAGAGTTTTCTTACCTTGGGATCACGTTCACAACACGCTTTTTAAAATCGCCGCAGTAGTAAGATCCATTTCGTGGAATCACTTCAGAACCACGCCTACATGCTGGTATGAACCAATCAGCTCCACCATCCACACCCTTGATGGTACCGTACACTGCATACTCTCCATCATAGTGCGCAAAATAGGTAAATCAGTAATAACAATCATTTTGAATTGTCTTAAAGAAGCATCTATCAAAATAAATATAACTAACCTCAGTGTAGTCCTTCAAAGACTCTATTGTTTTAGCATGTGTTTTGTATAAAAAAACCTTCCTCAACGGAGTACACAGGTATAGCACTTTTACCATTTGGTTTTATACTTTTTGCATGAATAGATTCCAGGAATTTTGCTATAATGGTATCATCGTGACATATTTTTGACACTCTAAAAGAGTGTTCATGTTGGCTTCGGATCATGACTCTTACCTCAACTTTGAAAAGATGCGTCTTGCCAAGCAAGAGGTCATCAAACTCTTTGGGTTTTTCAAAACTTCCATCCTGAGAGAATTTTAATCGTTACGTTAGTTTACAAATAAGACAAACTTTGTCTTCAAAATCAAGTTTGATGTGCTATACATGTGATTTTACATGCATTTCATAAAATTTGGCACAATTTATTTGATAAAATATAACCTAGTTTTTTATGGACAATCTGTGCGTGCTTTATTCATTATGTTCAAAATTGCGAGAGGTTCATTTCATATATGACGAACTTATTTCATACATACCGCATCACTTTTCCCCATCAATTGTGCACACGATATATTCAAAATATGTGATGCCTCACGGTCAAATAAAACAAATGTGGTTGTTCCAGAATCATCTTTAACAGAGAGCTTGATAAGATATCTACATACATAGAGAATAGTTAAATCAATTCTGATCCACATACTTAATAATATTAAAATGAAAAAAAACATAAGTTCAGAAATTATAACAAAAAAATTAAGAAAATATTTTTTGTAATTTGTAAATAGGATGCACAAATCGTTGTTTCATGCCCACATTAGAAAATGTAAGGGTGACAAAGAGTATATATCGTAGTAATGTATGTATGATTCAGATTTAGAACTCATATTCCACCAGAGAAAAACATTAATGAAGTTAAAAAAAATATATACCTCGAGATGACATTAAAGACACGAATTGAGCAGTGCGCACAATAATACATTGCACCATCAGCACTATTACACTTGCATGATAAATACCACCAATCGCTGTCATTGTTCACCGCAACAATAGTCCGTACACCACATACGATCCATCCATTTTAGAGTAATTCATACATTAAGTCTCGTGTTATTTCTCACTTAGCGGTGCATATGATAATATATTTTTATCGAGAAAGCACATAAATAATTAAATGTCTAAAAAACTATGTATTGAATGCTTAAAAATATCAAAGATACCTCATTACAGTCCTTCAGGTTAGCAATGACACTTGTTTTGCTCGTATCAAGGAACTCATTTTGGTTTGTACACGTAATTTTCTCGCATGATAACCTAAGAGGTAGAGGTCGAGAAGAACCACCAAGAGTCCTGCATGATGGTAACCATTTTCTTAGTTTGTGTGAGTCAACCATAACCTTACTTGTACCGAAATCAGATAGTGTTAAAACACATTAAATATTTGATAAACTAACCTCTGTCTGAAAGCAGTAACGACATTTATTTCCGGATTCAACAAAAGACGTGTACCATACATGACATTTTGTAGAATAGTATTTCCTTAAACAATGCGACATGAATATTAGACAATACTCTTGTAATATACAATGACATGTAAAGAAACAATGTCGATTAACAACATTTTAAACTGGAAACAAATAACACAATAGTATTCAAGTTACCAATACCTTGAAACATCTTGACCTTAGCATATTGAATGACGACCACTGCATGTTCCAACGGCGCTTGTCAAGAAGCTTTTAAGCAAGTCAACATACTCACCAAATAAAGTAACATCCAACCTTTGCCTGTCAACAAAAGTTAAAAACCTATAAGTACATGTATGTTATGTAAAAAACATCACCTTTATTACGAAAGAAACATAATAACACTATACCCTTCGGCCTCCAACGTGATCATAATCATCTTTGTTCTTTTTGACTCCCTTAGTATATCTCTTTCATTTCCAATAGCTGAAAGAATCCCCATAGTGTCTGCAATATAATGATGATATTCAACAAAATTATCCATCACACATTCCATATAATATAATCCACCTCTTTAACAATTATATAATTGAAATTAACGTATGGATTTGAGGCAAAAGGGAAGAGTATTACCGACTAAATATGAATAGTTTGAATCTGCACGCAAGATTTCTGGAAATGCAACCAACCTAATTCCATAAAGTGGTATTTTGTCACAACTGGTTTCAGTGACAGTCGTCCTTGCTTGAAAATTTAGGCGAAAGTCATGTCTTGAAGTGTGATAATAGCCACTGCTATTGCCGACGCCAAAGTAAGCAAATACATATACTGAATGTAACGCCCCGAAATTAGGCCTAAAAGAATTAATTATTGTAAATATTAATTAATGACTGAGACAGACCCGAACACTGAAAATTAAAAGTTTTCAGAAAAATATTTTAATTATATTAAAATTTTAGTTTTGACAGTCTGATTCCAAATATGCGATCCGTTTTCCATTCGGAACAGTTTGGGCGAAAAAGCGCGTACCGTTTCAGTCAGTTTATTAGTTACGGAGTAGGATGATATTTTAATTCCCCAAAAGTCTTCAATCACGCAGCCCCAAATCCTTCCCAATCCTTTTAGCCACCCTAGGGAATGCCTAGGAAATCCACTAAGCTAATAGTTCCAATTCTCCTTTATAATATTCCAAATTTCTTCTCCACTTTGTCAATCCTACACTTCACAAACACCCACTATCTCTCTTCATCCTTCTCTCTCTGTCAACCAAGCTTCAAGGAAAGAGAAAAGAGGTCTTAACTCCATTGTTATACCAAAGGAAGAAGAAGGAGAAACAAGAAGAGGTGTTCAAGTCCAAAATCCAGAATCCAAAACGCAGCAGCAACTTCTTCGTCAATTCTGTAATTTCCTATCCATTTTCTCGAATTGTTTATTATACCAAAATCGTAGCCCCGGACGTTATGAATCCAAACCAACAAACGGTTCGTGATTTCGTTAACTAACGAAGAATATATGGCCAAAATACCGGGACTGCTCCAATGGTGGCGAGCTCCTCGGGTTGGCTATGTTTCTTCATCTTTTTCTCATCGTTTCTTTCCAAATACTTACCGTCAACTCTCTCATGGTTATTAGGAACTTTCGGAGGTTATTTTCAAGAAGATTGGGCATAGGAAGCTCGAAGTTGATAGGGGTGACTGTACGTTGAACGTTCGTTGAGGCGTATTATTTTCTTTCTATATATCATTCCGACCTCTACGATATCAAGGCGAGTACATTGCACCCTAGTAACGCAATCCTTGGTTGAATATAAATCTAGATATATCGTTAGGATTGATTGTCATATTATAAGTCATTTATGCTTTAAGATCAAACTCACCAAACTCATAAAAGTTAAAATATGTTTTTCTTGATACTTTTTCTTACATAAATATATAAGGGTTAGGAATACTTCAAATACATAGATATGTTAATCATAGGAGTTAAAATGACTCAAAGAAGTATTTTAAATATCCAAAAATATCAAAAATTAGATTCGCAAACCCTAATGGTCGATGTAAACGGTCAACCGCCGCGTCAAACATCGAAACGGAGTGCGACTGTCAGACAAACGGTCAACCGCCGCCTGCCCAGCCGAGGACCGCCGTGCTCATCTAGTCAACAACGGTCGACCGCCGGTCGACCGTCACGGTGTTCCGCCAATCCGACCTGATGAAGATCAAGGTCGACTGTCTAGCCAAACGGTCGACCGTTACGAGCCCCATAGCTTATTTAAATGATATTTTTATCATGTTTCACCCAAATAAATTAATGTATGATTACATATTCATATTGCTTACAAATTGTTCATATCATACGATTCATATCATCATACATGTTGTAGCATATCACATCATATGCATGCGTAAGAGATCATGCCTAGTGCGTCTCTTATAGCGTGATTGTGCGGGACTTAGTAGTTCGACATCACAGTTTCGGGCTTAGTGTACGTACATGGTATTCAGGCTTTCGAGTACCACCCCTATTTTTCTAGTCTCCCTTGTGAGACTAAGGCTGCGTGAGTTCGTCGTACCAAATGGGCGAATCTCATAGTGCAAGGGTCGTCCTTGCTCGTTAGAATCATACAGCATGAAATCATCATCAAGTACAATCATCATGACTATGTATGACATCAATTACGTATCATTATCATCATCTTGAACATACATGCTATATTATGCCATATCATGAATAATTGTATGTCTACTTGATATTCAACTTGGAATTGTTGTATTAGCGTATTCCTCAGCTGACGCTAAGCGTGTAGTTTGTTTTACTTGCTACACGCAGGTAACAATACTTATCATGGAGCCCATCCCGGAGGTCAATGAGAGTGATGAGATGTACGGACTGGTGGATCACAATTATTATGCTTTATTTTAATAAATACCTTTTCGGGCAAATTCTTAGAAAATGTAAAATGACTTGATTATATTTTATATTTAAGCTTCCGCACTGTTTCAACATTACTCTTAATATTTGAAATTATCATTTATATTAAAAGTTTAAATTGGTTTTAAATTATTACTCAAATTATCATGCGTAATTACCATCATGGTAACTACTTCAGCTCAAATAATCTAGGTAATCGGGTTATTCGAGTTGGGGTGTTACACTGAACCTTCCTTTGTTTTCTTCTCAACAGTTCCCACCAGAGTTTTTCTTACCATGGCATGGATAGTAGTTTCCTACAAAATATCAAGGGAACATAAAGAGTTATGGGGATTTCATATGCTTGAAGTCCTAGGCACTTGAGAATCTTCAAGGACTATAAAAAATGAACTGAACACCAAAAAACATGCTAAAAAAACAGCAGACTATAAATCTTGAAGTGTTCAATATTGTTATCAATAAAGCATTTATTTATTGAGATGAAAAAGAAGCTGCAACGTTTATTTATGGTAAAGCTTCAATACTTTAATAAAAAAACATTTATTTATATAAAGATAAGGAAGATGATATAAAAACAATTGGAGGAGATGATGGGGAGAAGTTGAGATCAATAGGAGATTTGTTGGCCTTAAAATCACATAGTAGACCGTCAATCTACACATCAATGAATCTTGGATTCTTATTCTGTGTATGGATATTGACTTGGGTGATTATTTGTATTTATATTTCTTATCATTTCAGGTATTAGTTATAAAAAGTAAACAGACTATAATGTGAATTGTTTTTTCAATACTTAGGGACTGGAGAAAATTCATGAGACTGTAAAAATTAAACTCCACACCATAAAATATTTTCAAAAACAGGAGACTATAAATCTGAAATTCAGGTCTGAAAATAAGGACAGACTCAAGTCACCAATACTTTAATAAAAAAGTATGTTTTTATGGTGCTGAAAATAGAAGATTCAAGGACAACAGACGTATTACACTTTAAGAACAGCAGAGTTATTATTACATAAAGTATAAGAATTCCTTCTTAGCCAGTATTTAAAAAATTTCAGTCTCATGGTTTTAGGCACTAGAGAAATTTCAACATGAATAGGCACTAAAAAAACTAAATAGACTATAGTGTGTTTTGTTTTTTAATAATTAAAATCAGAACAGAATGTAGTGTGTTTTGTTTTTTCAATACTTTGAATCTGGAGAAACTTCAAGAGACTAAAAACTAAACTCCACACCTTAAAATGTGTTCAAAAACAACAGACTATAAGTCTGAAAATAAGGACAGGCTCAAGTCTTCAGTACTTTAATAAAAAAATCCTATTAAACATAAATTTTACTACCTCCGTCCCAAAAAGATTTACACATTTTGACTAAAGTTCAAATTAAGGGGGGGGATAATTTTGTGTTGACTTTACAAAAATACCCTTGATGTGATGGGTAAAAGTAGGATGTGATGTGTAGATTATTAGGAAAAAGGTATGATGTGATAGGTAAGGTTTGAAAAAGTAAGGGGTAAAAGTGGTTTTTTAATAGAAATGGGTAGAAGATTGTGGGACGCAATTTTTTGAGTGGTGTAGATCTTTTTGGGACGGAGGGAGTATATTGTATGCAAAATACGATAAGAGTACAATTCTTACATGTTCGTCCATGAATATCATCTCAATCGAATTCGTCATCTTCTCATCATTATACACTGGCATCTTGTACAATCGAATCACATGAACCAAAACTCTCCAGCATTCACTTGATGGATTGATCTTCAACAAAGGGTGAATCAGTTTGGAAGACATGTCAATTAATCAGAGGTTTTAGGTATGAACGCGCCTTACAATGAAACAATAGATTGATGAAATGGCTAACTTAAAATTTGATTTATAAGGGTAGAAAATTACAGCAATAAGGGCAGATAACCGCAAGAAGGAAACTTACAGCAAAAAACGGTAGAAAATCCAGAGATTTGAACCGGAAAATTCGAATGAAGAACAAATTTCGCAGAGATTAATTAACCATCATAAGAAGGAAAGAAAGCCAATCATCCCAAAAAAATTATGATTTTTTAAGAAAAGGGAAAGTTACCTATTCTTGGTACCGATCGTTGGAATCTCCGTGAAGAAGGTCCGTGAAGAAGGAAAGAGATTAATTCCAATCACTGAAATCTTGCGGTGGAGCCGTTCGAAGATGAATATCGCAGAGGTGCGAAGGAAAGTGCCGCTGATATCTCGTTTCGTTTCCATCGCTCAAGTTACGGATGAAATCAGTTCACACAGAATTGTCCAAATTAAAGGCGCCCAAAATAATGAATCATTATCCAACCCATTTGAAATATTGAGTAATTCTATTATAATGACATGGATGATGAAGTGTCAAAAAAATCCCCGTCAGCATGACAAATGTCAAAGTTCTGGGATTTTAACTCCCAAATATAATATATATATAAAGGATTAATCAAAAAAATACATAGAAAAAAATATAACATTTAATTTATACAATTCTATAACATTTAATTCTATATGATTCTATAGCATTTAATTACATATGATTCTATATCAACAGTACATTATTCTATGTATAAGAAAATCATACATCATTTTTATTTTCCACCAAAGTTTTCCTCTCTTATTTAGAATTTAATATGTAACCTTATTTTCTGCCAAAGCTTGGATATGATTTATTTTTCTATTTCAAATAAATATCAGCTGTTTTTTTACATCGTTTTACAATCATTTATATTTTGGTGAAGTCAAGTTGCTAGTGGATTTTTTCAATAGCGTAGAAGTATTTGAAAAACAATCTAACCTCAAAGATATTAAAATTTGAGGTTTGCATGAATGCTTTTTATCAATTATTTTCCTTTTAATATAAATAAGCCATGTGCTATGCAATAAACATTACAATGGGGATCTTATATAATTTTTTTGCCTTTTAACCTTCGTGGTATAAGCACGTGCACATATATTAAACATTTTTAAAACTTTTATTTATTAATAGCTTAAAGGCCATCAATTTAATCGACGTCAATTTTTTTACATCAATTTAATCGGTATTTTTGTACTTCCTCCGTTCCACAAAACCCTTCCGGTTTTGACTTTGGGGAAAAATAAGGAAAGTGTAATTTTGGTTGACTTTCCAATTTTACCCCTGAATGTGATGGGAAAAAGTAAGATGTGATAGTTTGGTTATTAGCGATAAAGTATGATGTGATAGGTAGGGTATGAAAAAGTAGGGGTAAAAGTTGTTTTTTAATAGAAAGTGGAAGTGTTTTGTGGAAAGCAAAAAAACGAAAGAGGAAGGGTTTTGTGGAACGGAGGGAGTATTTTTTAGTGTAGTCAAATTGTTAGTGAGTTTTATTTTTTCATCTTCGCTGATTTATCGTGGAGGTGCAATAGAATGAAACTTCCCATGACATCTTCGCTGATATCTCGTGGTTTAGCCATTGAGACTTGCAGATGAATGTCACAAATAGAGTCGCCCAAATAAATGAATCATTATCCAACCCGTTTGAAATATATAGAGGAACTCCATTTTGATGACATGGCTGATGAAGTGTGAAAAAAAGTTCCAATCAGCATGGCAAATGTCATGATTTTGAGAGTTCAACTCTCAAATTTTATATATAAAGATAAAGATACACAAGTTAGAATTTCAACATTTATAATAATACCTCACAAATTCAAAACAAAAACATTTTTTATAACAATGTATGAAAAAACCAGCCGGGAGGGGCGTAAGTGTGAGGCGGCGGCGGAAATGGGATGCAGTGGCGACGTATGCGGCAATGGGACGACGAAGGAAGGCCGCAACGACAACGGTTCAGGTGAGGAGGGTGACAGTAGAAGAGCGGCGACAGTGATGGTAGAGCAGCGGCGACGCGAACAGTGGAGTAGCAGTGATGGGACGGTGAAGGAAGGCCGCGGAAACGGCAGTTCAGGTGAGGAGGGCGATGATAGAAGAGCGGCGACGGCGATGGTAGAGCAGCGGCGACATGAAGGGTGGAGTAGCGGCGATGGGCGACGCAA